AGGAGGATGATGAGGAGGAGGAACTAGGGCCAAGGCGACACTGACGATGACGATGGTAGGCCGCTGCACCAGCACGCTGGCCTACCTGCGGCCCCCGCCGACGAGGTGTTGTTACGACAGTCATCCTACACATCTCGCTGCACTAAGGGCCCGCTAAGTGCAGCAAGCTATCTCTGCGCTCTCTGCGCCACCTCAACACCGCTCCCCACACTCTCATCTTGCCGACCACGGCATGGCGAGGAGGGGAAGGCTAGGCCAAGACGACGCCGTCGACGACGAGGACAGGCCCATGCACCATCACGCTGGCCTACCCACTGCCCCCCCCCCCCCCACGGAGGTGCCGTTACGACCCCCCCCGCTCTGTCGACCTCGATGTCGCCACTTCGTCCCAACCCTCCTTCCCTCGCCCGGCACTCGTCGGGCCGCCCGGGCCCCGCCGCAGCCTGCCGAGGAGGAGCGACGACGGGGACAATCACGACGACGGCGCTAGGCAGCTGCACCAGCATGCTGTTCTCCCTGGTTAGCCCGTGGGTTAACGGGCCGCGCCGACATGCGCGGCCTCGGGACGCCCCCAGCACCAGCCCTCGCCACGGGATCGTCTCGCAGCAGTCGTCGCGTACGCCCTGAGCAGGCCACGCGGCCTCCCGCGGCCCTCCACGGCCCTCCGGGGCACTGCGCGGCTTCCGCGCCCTCCCCCTATGCGCGCTGGCCACCTGCAAGGCCCACTGCATGCTTACTCCCGCCTTTTGTCCCGCCCTGGGGACTCGCGGCCTTGCGAGGTACCACCCCGCGGCTGTAGACAGAACGCTGTCTCCCGCGGGGTGCTTCAACCCCCCGCTGGCGGCCGACAGGCGCGCTGCACTCCGTTCCCGCGTGCTGCGGGTCGTACCCTGTCCCACCAGTTCGACCCGCGCCTTCGGCTCGCTCGCCCTCGCATTTCGCCGCGAGGAGGCCCTGGGGCTCCCATTCGGCGCGACGGGCGCGCTGGTCAGGGACGACGTCGCCCGAACGTGAGCCCCCCGCGCGACCCCCCTGGCATTGACTCAGCCGCACTTTCCACCCCTGCGTGCGGCCTCCGTGCCTCTCGCCGCTGCGGCTGCTACCATCTTCTGCAGCGCCCCACCGCGAGCTGTACGCCCCCCTGGGGCCCCCATACCCCGTCGGAAGACGTGGGTGCAGCACAGCGGCCCGTCTGGCCGCCGCTCCACTCTTTCATTCCCGCGCTGGCGGCGGTCTGCCGTGCCACCTCCCCACTGGGTGCACACACTTCCTCACACTGCCCTCGACGACTCAACGATTGTTCCTGACGGACCGAAGCCAGCGCACTTCCTCATCCGTGAGGTGCGATCGGCCTCCCCGGCCTGAGGCGTGCTAGGCCCCCGGTTTTCCCCGGGGTGGGTGCAAGCCCCTTCCGTGCCGTGTGGGTGGCATGGCCCCTGCGCCTCCCCTGCTCTCTCTGGGCCGCCTCGCTGGCTGCGCCCTCGGGCGCAGCGGGCGGAGCGGGTGGGTGGGATCCAGGGGCGGCCGTGCCTCTGGGCACGGCCGCTGGCGCCTGGGTCCTTCTACTCTTGCAGGGCGAGGCGCCACTGCACCCGCCCCCCCTGCGGGGGCGCCGTCTGTGCGTATTTCATAATTTAGTCTCCTTCTTTACGCCCCGTGCGACGTCTGGGGCGCTGTGCAAGGCTCCGCGTCCGCCCTCGCATGGGCTCCCCTGCGTGCGGTAGTGCAAGCAACAGACGCCAGCACGCCAATGCTGACCAGCTAAGATGCAGCTCGTGTTTTTCCCGGTGCGCAGACGCGGGGCGCTTCGGTCCCGTCCCCACGCTGCTCTTACTGTTCAGTCGTCTCGGGGGGGCCTTGTTTCGGGGACCCCCTGTTTATGCGTGCTGCACTCGGCCCCTGATAGAGCTCGGCTGGGCAGGCGCTTGCCCCTGCCAACCTGGACACGCGTGCCCGCATCGGTGTGTGTGTGTGTGTGTGTGTTTGTGTGTGTGTGTGTGGGTGTCCACCCAGTCTTCCCACTGCGGGATTGGCGTGGTGCTTCCGCGTCCTCCGTCGTCTCCTCCACCGCGGGCAGCTCGCCCGGCAGCCCCGCTCGTCGGGCTTCAGCCCAGGCGCACTCTCCGCACCCTGTCGGCGTCGTTCGTTGGTGCCGCCGTCGCCGTCTTCGGGCGCTGCCTCAATTTTCTCACTCCCCACCCTGCCCGGGTGGGCATGTGCGGTCGATCCAATGTGGTCCTGCGTCTGAGAGCCTGGCCGCGCACGTCAGCTTTGTGCCGTCTGCTCGATTTGCTCCGCCTCATCTCTGCACGCGAAGCCGAGATCGCCAAAGAACAAGTGCGTGTGTGTGAGTGCGTGTGTGTGTGTGTGTGTGTGTGTGTGTGTGTGTGTGTGTGTGTGTGTGTTTGTCTCTTTAGCAATACCGTCACCCGGCTTGCCCGAGCGCGCGTGCGGACTGCCTGTGCCGCGCTGCGATATATACATGCACACATATGTATATGTATACATATAAATATGCATCCATGTATTTACATTGGGTTTACATACGCTGCTCGTATACATTATACCATCATATATGGTAGCATGTTGTTTATGAAATACTGCACTTTGAATACCACGCCGTATTATATATCAACACATTACACTATCTTATATTAAGTACTAGATGTTGTTATACCAAGACGGTCTACATTCATAGTACACAGTACAATTAAACATAACGTTGTATCTTACCATTTCATGTCACAGTACACTTTGTCAGACCATGCGCTAGTATGCTATACGATATTATATTGTATCATAGTAGGTCCAATCGTGCGGTCATGTATAATGGTATATACGAGCATGCCATGGCACATTCAACTATCGTGTACTTTCTCAACTGGTACGATCGTATATTACATGTTGTTCCTATTATATTGTAGCATAGTCTGTTCTATTCGATCAACTTATATCGCAGCGTAGTCTATTATGTAGTATCATTTGTAACCACGTTATGGTATGACATGACAAGGCATGGCATGGTATGCTATATTATGGTATGCTATTGTATGATGTGGCATAATATGCTATGGTCTGGTATGATCTTATCTGGCATGCAAGCTAGCATGCCGTTATACAGTACATTATATCGCACTATGTCACAGGATGGCCAACTCTATTCCACTATAAAGAAAATTGTATACAAGCATGTGTGTGCGTGTATGTGTATGTTTGTGTGTGTGTTTGTGTTTGTGTGCGTCCCTCTCTCTCTCTCTTCCCCTCTCTCTCTCTCTATTGATCTTGTGTCTCACACTCTCCCTCTTTTTCCATTTCTCTCTCTCTCTCACTCTTCCTCCCTCGCTCCCTCACTCCCTCCCCCTTCTCCCCACCTTTTCGTTCCCCTCCCCATCGCCCCCCCTCCTCCCCTCGCGCTCCCCGTGCTTGTCCCCGTCCGCGCCGGCATTTCCCTCCCTGTCGCTGCTCCCCCCCCTCCCTGCGATGGGCTGCGCAAGGGCTCTTATCATGAGCGGTGACGGCCACCTTCAGAGCTTGGGGGCGTGGGCCCCTGTCCCCAGACCCCCTCGAGCCATGGCAAGAATCACGACAGAAGGTTTTTCGCGATTTTCGGCCTCTGGGTGCCCTTACCGGGCCTCGGCTCCGTCAAACATCTTTTCTGGACGAAAAACCGGTCCTGGGGAATGGGTCGAGACTTCTGGGGTCGACGCCGTGGAGAAAATCATGACGTCGGGGGTCTGGGTCGCATGGCTCGTCTCACAGCGGCGGACGAGTGAACCCTCGCAGCGAGCGGCCTTGGCACTTGAGAGAGCACCAGGCCGCAGCGTGCCGCCCAGTGCTGCCAAGGGGGGTCCTGTGCGGCGCGCGCTGGCCAGGGTAAAGGGAGGGCGTCGTCGCCCTGGCTGGTGGGCGTACAAGGAAAAGACGTGGCGTAACCATAAACGTTCGGAGCTTCACACGGATTTCATGTGTCGGCGTTGGGCCCCCTTGGCGGCGCTTCTGGCGCCGCCTCTGGCGCATTTCGCGCGCCAGGGAGGGGGGTCCAGCGCTGCTCCGAGGAATCCGCGCGGAGCTCCGAAAGTTCATGTTCAAGCAGTTTTTTCCTGGTCGAGGGTAGAGTCAACCCGCATAGTAAGGCTGAGCAACTTTCCAAGGTTATCCTTGCATCCTTCCCGTTCGGCCCATCCTTGGCCGCTTTCGCTGGCCGCGTCCCGCTCGCAAAGTGTCGACGTGGCCTTCCAAGGCCCTTACATCCTTATCGTGCGTCCTTATTAGACGGGTTGACTGTAGGAGCATTGCACTCCGTGTCCACTTCGCGCCATCCTCGTCAATGTTGCCCGCGTCGTTGTGGGCATCTCCACCACGGGACGGAACTGGCCAGCAGGGTAGGGGGGACGTCGCTGTCCCTGCCCTGGTCGGCGGGCAGGTGTTCAGTACATTGTGCCCACTTCTCGCCATCATCATCGTCCTCCTCCTCCCCCTCCTCTCCCTCCTCCTCCTCCTGCTCCTCCTCCTCCTCCTCCTCCTTCTCCTCCTCCTCCCCCTCCTCCTCCTCTCCTACTCCTCCTCCTCCTCCTCCTCCTCCTCTACCTCCTTCTCCTCCTCCTCTTCCTCCTCCTCCTCCACCTCCTCCTCCTCCTCCTCATCCCCCTCTTAATCCTCCTCTTAATCCTCATCCTCCTCCTCTTTGTCGTCCTCCTCCTCCTCCTCCTTCTCCTCCTCCCTCCTCCTCCTCATCCTTCTCTGAATCCTCCTCCTCTTCTTCCTCCGTCATTGTCGTCACCATGGACCATTTGTTTATTGAGCGCAGCCATCCAGCTTTCGCGCCTGAAACCGCTGGGATCTGCCAAAGACCGCCAGAAACAGTTGAATACCGTCAGAAGACCAGCGAAAACCGTTGAACACCGTTCGAAGACTCCTGAAGATCGCAGAAGACTGCCCAGGAGCGATGGGCAACAAGGGGTCAATGGTCGAACAGTCCTCGCCGTTGCAAGCATCGCCAGGCCGACGCCATCCTGTCCATTCGCGCTGGCTCCGTGCGCCGGCAGGCTCCAGCCGGGGCGCTTAGCGGCCAGATCTGCGCACCGGGGCGAACGAGACAGGGAGAGAGAGGGAGAGCAGGAAGCAGAGGGAGGAGACGGGTGAACGAGGAGGAGACGGGCGAACGAAGAGGAGACACGCGAATGAGGAGGAGGAGTGGGAGGAGACGTGTCATCTGCTTCCTCCTCTTCCTCCTCCATCTCCTCCATCTCCTCCTCCTCCTCCTCATCACGATCACCATCACCATCACCATCACCATCACCATCACCATCACCATCACCATCACCATCACCATCACCATCACCATCACCATCACCATCACGATCATCATCATCATCATCATCATCATCATCATCATCATTATCATCATCATCATCATCATCATCATCATCATCATCATCATCATCATAATCATCATCATCAGCATCATCATCACCAGCATCTCCACCACCACCACCACCATCACCATCACCATCACCATCATCATCATCATCCTCATCATCAGCATCATCATCAGCATCACCAGCATCGCCATTATCAGAATCATTACCATCATCACCATCATCACCATAATCATCATCATCACCACCAGCATCATCATCACCATCATCATCATCATCATCATCATCATCATCATCATCGTCATCATGATTGCCCTCCTCCCCGGAAGGACACAACATCAGCATACAAGCAACGTATATCTACGGAGGGGCCGCCTCTCATACACAGCCTCTCCAGATGAAGAGCGAGGCGCCATACACATAAACCGTCGGAGCTCCGCGCGGGTTTCTTGGATCGGCGCTGGGTCCCCCTGGCGGCGCCTGCGGCGCTGCCCCTGGCGCACTCCGCGCCTTAGGGAGGGGGGTCCAGCGCAGATCCCAGAAATCCGCGCATACCTTCGAAAGTTTGTGTTTCTGCCGCTTCGTTCTTCCTCCAGAGAGGCTGTGTGTAAGAGGAGGCCCCTGCGTGGAGTTACGTTGGTGTCTTCCGGCTGCTGTGCGAAGCTTTTGGCCGAGCTTGTTTCACGGACGTTGCGTGTCGACGGTCTCCTTTTCCTTCCCAGCCTCGTTGTGTTTAGGCTCCTCGTTTCAAGTTTCAATGAGGGCATTTGCTGCGACTCCTCCGTTTTCCTCCTCCTCCAGCCTCCGTTCTTTTCTGAGTCAGCGGCCCCCGCACCAAACCCGTATTTCCAGTTGGAGTTCAGCGACATAATCGATGTAGCCTTTTTTGGTCGAACCACAAACACATAAGTATAATGTTTGCAGATGCACGAACATTACACGCATTTGCCGTAGATTCGACAAACAATCATATTGAGGGGCCGAGCGGTCTTACACTGTCCCCGGGTGCGTGGCTGAAATGGGCTCCTGCGGTGCAAATTCTTGTTGTTTTGTTTTTTTGTCGTCGTCTCGACCGTGACCCACCCCGCGACCCACCCCGCGACCTACCCCGCGACCCACCCCGTGACCCACCCCGCGATCCACCCGCGACCCACCCGCGACCCATCTGCGACCCACCCGCGACCCACCCCGCGACCCACCCGCGACCCGCCCGCGACCCACCCGTGACCCACCCTGCGCGCGCCCCCTCAATCTTACGCGCAATTGCGGGGTGCTACGTACATGTTTGGGGACATCGATTCTGTAGTCGATCTCTGAATCGAGTCGTAGGACTGGTGTCCACGGGTGCCGGGCGTATTGGCCCCGGAGGTCCGCCTGCGACGACAGGGGGGCGTGCCCATCGGGAGGGTCGTTCTAAGCACCCAGGTGGGGGGCGACAGCCCACCTGGGAACCTGCGACAGGGCACACCCCCCAAAACGGCGACAGGCCCAGAGCCCCTCGAGCCATGAAAACATCTCGACGGAGGGTTTTTTGGTTATTCTCAGCCTCCCGGGGGCCCTTGCCAGGCCGCGGGACGGTCAAAACACGACTCAGTATGAAAAACTGGTCCCGAGGAATGGGTCGAATTCTTGGGGGTCGACGCTACAATAAAAATCATGACGTCGGGAGTCTTGGGGCGGGGAGGGGCCTGGCCCAACCCTCCCTGTGGTTCCAGGGGGCCACATGCGAACCCCACCCCTACCCTCCACGATTTCTGAGGGTGAGGGTGGGGCTCGCATGTGCCCCCCTTGGTTCGGCCCTCGTTTGAGCAGGGCTCTTGTTGCTCGCCTTTCCTCCCGCTCTCGCTCGTTTTTCTGCCTCCTTCCCGGCCTCGTCCCTGCGCCTGCTCTCCCCGGGCGCTCTGTCGAACGTGACGCTGCTGCCACTCCGGTGCGCCGCCCCTGGGGGGCGTGCCGCCAGCGGAGCGCGGTTTGACGCAGTTGTCGTCGTCGTCGTCGTCGTCGTCGTCGTCGCCGCCGTCGTCGTCGTCGTCGTCGTCGTCGTCGTCGTCGTCGTCGTCGTCGTCGTCGTCGTCGTGTTCGGAGCCCCACCTGGGTGGTGCCAGCCGTGCAACCGTCGCCGCCTCCGCGTGCCCCTGGCGGGTCCAGCGGGGTGCGGTCTGACGCAGACCAGGCGAGGCCCCGCCCCCCGAGCGGCTGCCAGCCGTACGGCTGTTGCCACTCGTGCGCTTCTGCGGGGCCTGAAGGGGTGACCTGGAGGGTATCTCCGAAGGGCTCAGGCGACCCGTCCTCCTCTTTCCCCTCCTCCTCCTCCTCCTCCTCCTCCTCCTCCTCCTCCTCCTCCCTCCTTCTCCTCCTCCTCCTCCTCCTCCTCCTCCTCCTCCTCCTCCTCCTCCTCCTCTCTCCTCCTCCTCCTCCTCCTCCTCCCTCCTCCTCCTCCTCCTCCTCCTCCTCCTCCTCCTCCTCCTCCTCCTCCTCCTCCTCCTCCCTCCTCCTCCTCCTCCCTCCTCCTCCTCCTCTCTCCTCCTCCCTCCTCCTCCTCCTCTCCTCTCCTCCTCCTCCTCCTCCTCCTCCCAAAAAACAGGGACGCTCGCTCCTCTCTCCTCCTCCTCCTCCTCTCCTCCTCCTCCTCCTCCTCCTCCTCCTCCTCCTCCTCCTCGTCCTCCTCCTCCTCCTCCTCCTCCTCCTCCTCCTCCTCCTCCTCCTCCTCCTAGGGTCGCCTACGGCCACAGGGGAAACCGTGCAGGGTGACCTCTTTCGCAGACCGGACGAGACCCGTCCTTTGGCGCTGCCAGCCGTGCAAGTATCGCCATTGTCGTGCGCCTCGTGGAGGGTTCAGCGTGGTGCGGTCTCACGCAGACATATCGGGCGATGCCAACCGACTGCACGAACGTCGCTGCCTGCGTGTGCCACCAGGGGTGTCCAGCGGATTGCGGTCTCAGGCAGACCAATTAAGATCTCGTCCGCCCCCCTGGGTGGTGCCACCTTGCTGCCAAATGCTACAACAATTTGTAAGCTATAACGAGTTGCTGCATGGAGCTCCATCTACGGCCCATAGGCCGCATTCCTGCCCGCCGCCAAGGCACAACTCTCGCGCCGATCGTGCCCCCACCTGCAGAGATCTCCACATCGGCCCAGCAGTTGACGTCCGCATGCGGGCCCACAGCTCGATTCGGCACACGGAGCACCCCACCTACGGCGTCAGTGGGAGAGTCTGCGCGCGGGCCCACGTCCAAATTCGGCACACCCCTCCCATGGATCGCGTCCCCACGGCTTCAGAGGGAGCGTCCGCATGTAGGCCCACCGCTGGTTGGCTGGGTGGCTGGCTTTGCTGGCTGCCTGGCTGGTGGGCTTGCTGGCTGGCCGAGTTGATGATTGATTGATTGATTGGTTGGCTGGCTGAGTGATTGCTGGTTGACTGTCTGTTTGGCTGGTCGGCGGGTTGACTAGCTGTTGGCTGGCTGATTGGTTGGCTGACTCGTTGGCTGGCTAGTTGTTTGGCTGGTCGGCTGGTTGGCTGGATGGTTGGCAGCTATCTCGCGCCCTTTCTAGCGGCAGGTGCTTTCCGTCTCCACAGTGGCCAGGTCTGTTTGATACGCCTCCTGCTACATTGGGGCAGCGAGTTCCAATTTGCGGGTTGGGTCCACCCTTGAAGGAACAGACGCCGTGTGCAATCGGGCATTGTTGCTAAGCAGATTTCCCAGATTTCGGCAGTTCTGGGCGTTGACACGACGATTTTGAGCCATGGGGATCGTACCGGCCCCGGTAATGTTTTCGGAGCGTGGGCTTTGCTGTCACAGCTTCCGGCAGCGGGGCCAGTCTTCAATCTATGGAATATGGAGGCCTCACGCCCTGGTGCCTCTGATTCAGCATTGCCTTCTGTGAGGTAGTGCCGTCGATCTGCACGATCTAGCCGCCCCAGTTCCATCACCTGGTGAGGCTCTGAGAAGACCAGAGGGGCTCACACAGATACAGATTTGAGAAGGTTCTGCCTCGCGAAATCCTGGGGTCCATGACCAGCGATTGCCTTGCTTGCCCTGGCCATTTCCGCTCAAGCTCCGTTTGCTCAGTCATCGGCCCCCTTCTCCTCCTTTCGTGTGCGGGGAACAAGTTCACATACACGGCCTCGCGGTCCAGATTCCTCGACCGCGACCCTGTCGATGCAGGGCGCGAACGGTATCCACGGGATCGCGTGTCTATGGGATTGCGCGCTGGAGCCCAGACCACGAGGCCACGGGTGGAAACATAATTCGTTCGTCGCCCATGACCCGCGCCCCTCGCCCCTCTTTCTCCCGGGCGCCCCAGACATCCGACGTCCGGATCTTGTCGATACGGGGTCCCCAGAAGGCCCGACCCATTTCTCCCGGGACTGGCTTTCAGCCCGAACAGTTTTTTGGGACGGTCCCAGGGTCTGGCGAGGGCCCCCCCGGTCGGAGCGGACAATAGCGCCCAGGAGCTCCAGCGAATTAGTGGTCTGGGCCTTCAGGAATCTTGCACAGTCCTTGTGCCACTCACCTCCGTATGAGCTGTGGCGCGCTCCGCTACGCCCTGAAGGACTGGTGGTGGACACCTACTCTACATGGGTTGCACATCGTAGATTCTACATACCACCTACAGTCAACCCGCAGAGTAAGGATGGGCGACCTTCCCAAGGGTACCCTCGCATCCTTGCCTCTTCGGTCTATCCTTGACCACTCTCGTTGGCCGCGCCCTGCTCGAAAAGCTTCGAAATGGGCGTCCAAGGGCCTTGCATTCTTATCGCGCATCCTTACTCTACGGGTTGACTGTAGATTAATCTCTCTCTCTCTCTCTCTCTTTGTTGCGAGGGCCCCCAGAAGCCGAAGACGACGAAAGACCTCCGTCTCGCTCTCTCCCCGAGGTCGGAGGTCCCCCTCCACCGCCCGGGTGCTGCGGGCAGCGCCCACGAGCCCATGCCGTCGCGGGCTCGCGGCGACTCCAGTCCGACGCGCGGGTCCACAGGCCGGCGTCACCCAAACGTACAAATTAATACCATGCGGTGATCGTTATCTTATTCGTCGTTTTGCCGATCGGCGCGGGCTCTCGCACTCCCCCCCTCCCCCCCCCATGGAGTAGATCCTGGCTGTTTTGGGCGCCTGTTTCGAGCAAGTGGAGTCTCCCCCACAGGATGCACTGCTGCAAGCAGTCGCATTAAGCAGAGGTCTGGAGCCAGACCCCCCCCCCTGCCCCCCCCCCTGCTCCCCCCCCTTCCGCCCAATGTCGAAACGCCGAATAAGAAAACGTTCACGTGCGCATCCCCCCCAAAGGAGCGACGCGCGCGCCGAAACATCGTATAGTACATGCTCAGAGGCAGGCGCTTTCTGGCCAGTCCGCTCGGGAGACGGTGTACTACAAGATGTTGTATTGTATGCTCGGGTCGGACATGCGCCTCCAACAGAGGGGCATCGTCTTAGTATTCAAAAAGAAAAGGCGGCACATAACCTTTCGTTGGTTCGCGCGGACTTCTTGGATCTGCGCTGGGCCCCCCTGGCGGCGCCTCCGGCGCCGCCCCTGGCGCGTTCCGCGAGCCAGGGAGGAGGCCCCAGCGCCGATCCGAGAACTCCGCGCGGACCCTCGACAGTCTATGTTTATGTCGCCCTGTCTTCCTCCAAGTGGGAGTCGACTGGTATCGGGTGATACTTCACAATGCGCGCAGCCACACTGCAGCTGCATAAGTGGCGCGCCTGGGATCAGGCCTGCGCGTCGGCACCTTTTATTCCCTGCCTAGGCTCTGCCTAGAAGGGTTCTTACTGTGTTTGCTTAAAGGGGCCGGGCAGTGCTCGCCGCCCCAGGCGGTTCCCCCAGGATCCGCCCCGCGGTTCCCCCAGTGACGTTCCCTTAGCTTAGCGTTGCTTATCTCATCTTAGCTTAGCTTATTTCATCTTAGCTTAGCTTAGCTTCATCTTAGCTCAGGCTTATCTTAGCTTAGCTTACCTTCATCTTAGCTTCGCCGAGCTTTAGCATAGCAGAGCACAGCATAGCATAGCAGAGCACAGCATAGCATAGCATAGCATAGCATAGCGCAGCATAGCATGGCATGGCATGGCATGGCATGGCATGGCATGGCACGGCACGGCACGGCACGGCATGGCATGGCATAGCATAGCATAGCATAGCATAGCATAGCATAGCAACTAATGCTGCTTTCCTAGGGGCTCCAATTTCTAGGTAGGGTCGCACTGGTAATTTACAATTCCTGGCCGGAATCGGAACCGACCAGAATTGCAGATGACCGGAACCAGGAATGAGTGCTCCATATGGGCGCCGCGTAAGGGGGGCGATCAATGCGTGGGCAGCGAGGGCTGCAGAAAAGGGGCTCTAGGTCCTTCAGGGCCCGAAAAGGGCACCTTTCTGCCCTCCCCATTCACCGCCCTCCCATCACAGGCGGACCGAGGTATAGGATCGAGGTCGGTTCGGGGAGGGTACCATGATGTTCTTCGTGTTTGTTAGATGTTCTCGGTGCATCCTGGGGGAGGGTACCCTCGAATGCCCTTCGTTTTGGCCGGTGGCGGGTCTCTCATGTTCTTGACGGAGGGTCTCCTGTCCCAGGTCCGACCGTAGTTCGCGCTCCACTGGGGTTCTCCTGCGCCCCCGCCAGGGGCTCCGCGGCCTCGGCCTCTGGCCGCCTGGGCGCTGGCGGCCTGCGCACTGCTGGCGGCCTCCAGGCTGCCGCGCGGCCTCGTGGCCCCGCTCGGCCCTGGGCGGCCCGCCCGGCCACGAGAGCGCGGGCTGGTGGGGCGGGCGTCGGGCCGGCCAGGCGGCCCAGTCAAGAAGACTCGGGGAGCAAACAACGGCATGAACTCGGCGTCGCTCGGGCGTGTGCGTCTTCTTTCCCGGCGAGGATCCTCGAGGAGCATCCCGGGTCCTCTTGCGAGAAGTAAGCGCACGAAGCCGAAAGATGCACGGGGAACGGCATCCGAGCGATGGCAGGTAAGCCTCAACTTTCGGTGGCCTGCGCAGATTTCTCGGATGGGCGCTGTAACCCCCTGGTGGCGCCTCTGGCGCCGCCCCCGGCGCGCGCCGCGCGGCAGGGGGGGTGGGGTTTCCAGCGCAGCTCCGAGAAAAGCGGGCGGACCTCTGACAGGTTACGTTCATGCCACTTTTTGTTCCCCGAGAAGCTGCCCAAGGGGCAGAGGCTGCTGGGCCACGACAATCCGTATCACCCCAGGGACGTGAGGCCGGAGGCTCGGAGGAAGCGGGAACACCTGGTCCGGACCAGCTCGAGGTCGGGACGGAACAGGGTGCTGGTCGAGGGGCGCCGTGCCGCAAGGATCGAGGCGACCATGGACAATATAGAGTTGTGGCTCGGCATGCAGAGGAAGCTAGAGGAAAGCGCCACGAGCCCAGGCGGAAGGTTTGTGGGATGGAAGGCAGCCCAGGCCAAGCAGGGAGGTCTCGATGGGGAGGCCCAGAAAGTGGAGGTCGAGATATTGAGCTGGCTGCCAGAGCTCATGAGGCCCCCGACGCCAGGTGGCCGGCTCCCGGAGCCCGTGGACCAGGATGAGCTGACCATGTTGCTCGAGGTCTTTGCCGAGGAGTCCAGTGAGCCGGCCCTCGGTTTGCTGGAGGATGCAGTGGAGAGTGCGACCAGGACTCCCGAGATGGATCTCGGCGCGGCGGTCCTGCTGCTGGAGAGCCTCACCGCCGCGGGTGTGCTGGCCGCGGGCGTGTGGAAGGCGGTCGGGCGGCGAGCGCTGGAGCAGTGCCGTGGCGCGACACAGGACCTCAGCTGCCCTCGTGCGCCCGTGCCAAAACTCAACACGTGCCGTGTGCAAAACGTCCATGTTTCCACGCCGCGTGGTGGTTCGGCCACCCGCCGGTCCACATTTTCGCGAACTCATCGCGCCAGGCCCACGTTTTCGGTCTTCGTGCTGGCCTCCGTGCCAACACGCTACGTGTTGCGCGTGGCGCATCGGGGCAGTTAAGCACAGGACTCGTTCTCCCGACTGGCGTGGGCTCTGGACGCCGCCACGGAGCGCCTGCCGCCCGAGGCGCAGGCCGGGCTGGAGGAGGGGCTGCGCCTGGGGCGCGCCCGCCTCTCCGACGACGATGCCGCGATGCTGGGCTGGGCCTGCGCCGAGCTCGGCCTCGAGCTGCGCGGCGTGCTCGGCGAGGCCTCCTCGCACGCGGCCGCGGAGGCCGCGGCCTCCGCGCTCCGGGCAGTGGAGAGCCTGGGCGCGGCGCCTGGCGCCAGGATGCTTCGCTGGGAGCCCCTGCGCGTGGTCTCGGTGGCCGCAGCGGTGGACCCAGCGCACCTGCAGGAGCTCGTCGACCTCGCCGACCGCGGCGACCTATGGCGACCGTCCGCGCGCAGGGCCGCCGGCGCCGAGGGCGCGGGCAGCCCCGTGCAGGGGCGGCCCTGGTCGGCCCTGCTCGGCTCCGCCGCCTGCCGCGCCCACCCCGCCTCGCTGGCAGTGCGCCGCTGGGTCGCCAGCGCGATGGGGGTGCCCGTGGAGCGGGTCGAGGCCCTGCGCGTGGTGAGATACAGGCCAGGCGACGAGTCTGGTCCGCCGCGCGTGGACACACGCCCTGCAGGCGACGCCAGCCTGTGGCTTAGCGGCCAGCGGGTGGCCACGGTAATGTTCTACGTGAGCACGCTGCCGGATGGCGCTGGCGGGGAGACACACTTCGCCTCGCCTCTGCTGGATTTGCTGGTGTCTCCCGAGGCAGGCTCTGCGCTGGTGTGGCCCACGGTCACCGCGGCTGGCGCGCCGGACCCCAACGCCGCCCGTGGGGCCATGCCCGTCAACAGCGCGGCCGTTGAGAAGCACATGGTGATTACGTGGGTCCGCAGCGGCCCGGCTCCAGGCGAAGGCGGCGCGCCCCCGGCTTGAGGAGTAGTTGGGCATGCTTCGGCAGCTTGTGGGGGGCCAGTGGTGACGTCCGTCAGCTGCCATAGTGCTCGGGGCTGTGCGGGCGGCCCAGAGCTTTCTTGTGGCTCTGGTGCGCTGCAAAACGACACATCTCAAAGTGGCATGTCTCAGGCCTGGGGTGATCTCTTTCTGTCTCTGCTTGAGCAGCAGTGGGAGGGCAGAACCTGAGCCCAGCCTCCCTGGCTTTCAAGATGGCTACCAGAGGCGCCCTCTTAGACTTCTACGGTCAAGATCTTTTGGATAGCGTGTCGGCCGGTTCTGGCCCACCACGCTTCGGCGCGACACGCTATTCCCCGCGGAGCGGACACGCTATCCGCTTGCAAGGCATAGCTTGTCGCCAGGGCCGCCGCCGCGGCGGCACGCTTCGCAATCATTCCCGACCGTAGAGGCCTCTCTGGACTGCGTATAGGTTTCGACTGAAATGGTCATGAGAAGTCCCTTGGTGCTACTTTTTGGCCCTCCTGGGAGGTCAGGGTCCCTGGCCTCGCTCGCTGCCGCTGGGCGGCCTGCGCGGGCGCAGCGGGGTTGGCACCAGGGCCCTCCGGAGCCAGCGGGGCTACAGACAGTAGCCGCACGTTCGGGAATTTTCGGATAGCGTGTCGCTCCTCCGGTTCTGGCCCACCGCGCTTCGGCGCAACTCTCAGAACGATCGGGATGGGTACGGAAACAATGGGTACAAAGTCCGACAGCAGTTCTTGTTCATTATGAACTGGGTTCGTTTTCGGCGTCGCCGCTGTCGTTGTTCATTTGATACTGAAGGCCGCCTGCCCGACGGCGGCAGCTGTCGGTTTTGTACAACAGTTGTCTCTGGGCATCGTACCAATTTTCTTCGCGCTCACTTCCTGGCCTCGAAGCGTGCACGTCCCCAGCCTTTCCCGGCCTCCCGCCCCGCGGAGCGGGGCGACACGCTATCCGCTCGCAGGGCACAGCTTGTCGCCGGATCCGCCGTGACGGCAAGCTATCCAAAAGTTCCTGACTGTAGCCACATACGAGAAGAAGTCTTGCTTCCAGAAATATTGGGGCACATTCTTCGTCGCGGCCTCCCTCCGCCAGAGACTGCGCACGCAGCCCAGAGACTCCAGTAGGGGGGTGCTGTCGGTCTCGCCCGGAAGCAAGCTGAGGAGCTTCGGTGTCGCCAGACTCGGGGCCCTGTCCAAGGGTAATCGTTCCTTGTGTGGCACGTTCGCCGCAGAGGTGGGGCCAGGGGTGGCATGGGAGGAGAGGCGCCACCTTTTGTTCTTCTCCCTCGGGGGAACTTGCCAGCCTTGGACAGCCACGCCATCGAGCACATGGGCGCGCCTCATAGCGTTGTCGCGCCCTGCCGCGAAGATGCATGTCAGGGCGGCTCTCAAAGCAACTTGCGGAAGCTCCAGGTTCGGGCCCTGGGTTTCTCACCCTCTTCCCCCCTCCCCCTTCTGGCAGGTCGGGCCGTGTAGCGTCCCTGGGTTGTTGCCTCCTCAGCCTGCAGTGCCCAGCCCATCGGCAGCGCGAAAGGAGCCCTGGGCCCCCCACTATCTGCAGGGCTCCGGGAGGGCCCCTGCGCGGGCGAACGGGTCGCCCCGGAGATCGCGGTCCCCCGGCTCAGATCGGCCATCGCGAGTGCCGAGGTCAGCAGCGGACGCCCATTCAGGCGCCCCGGGGCAGGAGGAGGCGGAGGGGGGAAGACGTGTGAAAACAGGGGGCGGGGGGGATGATGACAGGGAGCGGAGGGAGGAGACGGAGGTGACCAGGAGGAGGAGCCTTGATTGCAGTCGTACGTGGCGGGTCATAGACAGCGCCGTGGGGCAAACATTCAGCTCTTGCAGTCGTAACGGTCCGCAACAGGCAGATAATGTCCAGCGTAAGGCCGTACGGCACCGCCGCGAACGACATTGCGGGCGGCGCCGGTTGTGAAGCGCTTCTGCCTGAGCGCCGTCCCGCGCGCGCGCGTACTCCGAAGATCCTCGAGCCCGAGCGTGGCTCCATGCTGAAGGCACGGGCCGCCTGCGCCTGCAGCGGCGGCCAGAAGCGGCGGGAGAGGATTCCGACTTCCTCCGCCGTCAGCGAGTTTGGTTTGGCGGCCACTGCAGCTTACTCAACAGTGCAGGGTGCCGTTGCTGCCCCAGTATCGGAACCTTCGGCTCGCGTGTGGTTCTGGGCACCGTTCACATGTAGAATCTCTGCAGCTTGCATGTGATGATGGCGACGATGATGATGATGATGATGCTGATGATGATGATGATGATGATGATGATGATGATGATGATGATGATGATGATGATGATGATACTGCTGCTGCTGCCGATGCTGATGCTGATGCTGATACTGATGCTGCTGCTGATGATGATGATGCGGAGGAGGAGGTGGAGCAGGAGGAGGATGACGATGACGATGACGATGACAATGAGGATGAGGACGAGGATGAGGATGATGAGGATGATGATGAGGATGATGATGAGGATGAGGATGAGGATGCTCATGAGGGTGATGCTGATGCTAGTGATGATGATGGATGATGGATGATGTTGTTGATGATGATGATGGTGATGGTGGTGATGATGCTGCTGCTGATGATTATGTTTCTGATGACGATAATGATTGTGATGATGATGGTGCTGGTGATGGTGATGGTGATCATGTTGCTGACGTTGCTGATGTTGCTGATGTTGCTGATGGGCTGATGGTGACGATGCTGATAATGATGATGATGATGACAAATGATGATGACGACGATCACGATGCTGATGATGAGGAGGGTGATGATGGCGGCGATGCTGATGATGCTGATGATGATGCTGATGCTGATGATGATGGTGGTGGTGTTGCTGATGATGGTGATGACGATGCTGATGATGGTGATGATGACGCTGGTGCTGATGACGACGATGATGATGCTGCTGATGACGATGGAGATTCAGAAGATGACGATGATTGTGCTGATGATGATGATGACGATGATTACTGAAACGATGACGACGGCGATGCTGCTGATGATGCTGCTGATGCTGCTGCTGATGATGATGCTGATAATGATGCTGCTGATGGCGACGACGACGACAACGACGACGACGATGATTGTGATGCAGATGACGATGCTGTTGATGGTGATGATGACTGTTATTATCATTATTATTGTGATGATAAATTATTGTTATTCGTCATATGATGATGACGGTGCTGCTGCTGCGACTGATGATTATGGTGTTGCAGAAAACGGATGACGATGCAGCTGCTGATGCCGCCGACGATGAGGAGGATGACGAAACTGATGATGCTGATGATGATGATGATGATGATGAAGAAGAAGAAGAAGAGTACGATGGCGATATCGCTGCTGTTGATGATGATGATGATGATGAGGAGGAGGAGGAGGTTGCTGATGACGACGACGATCTGATGATGGGGCTATGTATCTGGGTCGGTCAGCAGCGTTTGCTCGGACTGCCGCCTGTGTCGAGAGCTTTTCTCTCTCTCTCTCTGTCCCGCTCTGTCCGCGCGCGCAGCAGCGCCTCGAACGCTTGCCACTGCAGGCCACGCTCGTCACGACTGCGATGCAGCAGTGCGCCCGAAGGAACGCACCCGAGCGTGTGCACCGAACGCGACGGAGACAAAAGCGTGTACGAGTGTACACGCGTTCGTTTGGAGGGAATGGTTGTGATAAGACGCGTTGTTTTGAATGTCGGCCCGCAAAGAGGCCAATGGCCTACCTCGTGCTCTAACCATGCAGTTGTTGTAGAATTTTTGAAGTTGTTCAGGGTGTGTGCCCACGCGGGAGTACTCTGCCTTCCACGCCCGCCTCAGGAGGAGGCCGCCGCCAGCCACCTCTTGTTCGTCATCCAGTGACAAGTTGCGGCCCCTGACGATTGGTTTTTCCCCGTGGTCTTTCCCAGCCGGCCCACCAAGCTGGGGGGCGGGGGCAAGCTCGGCTGTCGGTGGCGGAAGGGTGGGCCTTGGGCAGGGCGGGGGGCTCCTCTTGTCCCATCGGCTGACGCCTGCTTTGGCCGCCGAGCAGTCGCGACGCATGGGGCTTCCATGGCGCGCCGCGCCCGGGGCGGGCAGGCGGCCTGCGGTGACCCGCCGTCTCTCCGTCCTCTCCTCTCCCATCCCCTGCCTGCCCTCCCGCCTCCCCTTTATGACCGATAGTCCGCGCTTCTTTGTCAGTGTCGGCGTTGCTTCGCGTCGCCTGTCCGTTTTACGCCAGCATCCCGTCCCTGCGGTTGGCGTCCAGGTTCCCCAAGGCCCCCACGGGTGAGACACCGCTGAAGATCGACATCCTGAAGCAGGCCGTCTCTCTAGGGGCAGAAGTCAAGGGGCCAGTGAGTAGAGCTGCTCAGGAGCTGCTCAGAATAATATGTTGTCGGAGCATATTGTGCAGGAAGAGAGGCCAACGTCATTCGTGTGCACGCCTCCTGGCAGCCTTCAATTTGGTTGATTACTCATTACGACGTCATTCGTCGATCTCGTCGGCAAGTAGGTCTGCTGGGTGAGTGAAACGCCCACTCAACTACCGTGTGTTCGCTTCAGGCTCGTGGAAGTATTGTGCGGACGCCCTCATGGATGGCACGACTGAGTAACTCCATGGGGAACGAATTGGTCACAGTGAGTGCCGAGGGCAAATTGGAGTGTGGGCACAGGTGCGCTTAGAAATTCTAGACGCTTCGCATAATCGCACCAGCCCGCGCAGAAACGATGCCCAGGCGAGTTGTCCTGATCAGGGCTGTGGAGTACATTGCAGTGGGATGAAGGGTTGGATAAGACGTCGTACCCCAAGAGGGGGAGGATGGAGGAGGAATCGGAGGAGGAACAAAAGGAGGAGGACGAGGAGGAGGAGGACGAGGAGGAGGAGGAGGAGGAGGGCAAGGAGGAGGAGGGAGAAGGAGGAGAACGTGGAAACGAACAAGGAGGATGAGGAAGATGAGGAGGAGTAGGAGGAGGAGGAGGAGGAGGAGGAGGAGGAGGAGGAGGAGGAAGGGGAGGGGGAGGGGGAGGAGGCAGGAGGGAAGAGGAGGAGTAAGCGGATGATGATGATGATGATGATGAGGAGGAGGAGAAGGAGGGGGAGGAGGAGGAGGAGGAGAAGCAGGAGGAGGAGGATTCCATTGGAAGCGTCGCCCCCTGGAGTTGGGAGAGCCCCCGCGCCCGCAGGAACGGAAGCAGGGGCCGAACGACTCGGCGGCGGCGGGGGCGGAGGGCGTTTTCCCCCCCCATGGGTTCGGGGTCCCGGGACCTCCCGACGGCACGAAACGCTTCCATTGGAAGCTTCGCCTTCGGGGGTGAAGGGGATGCCGCGCGCGCAAGAAAGGAGGCGGGGGCCGGGGGCCGAACGACTCGGCGGCGGCGGCGCGGGGCAACACGACCTGTGCGCCCTCCCTCTGGCTTCGGGGGCTCGCCGAGGCCCCGAGGGCACGGAACGCTTCCATGGGAAGCGTCGCCCTGGGGGCCCGGAGAATTCCCCGCGCCCGCGGGAGAGGAGGCGGGGGCCGAACGACTTGGCGGCGGCGGCGGAAGGCCAAGTGAATCGTTCGGCCGCGCTCTCCCTCCCCATGTTTTCGCGGGCCCCCCGAGGCCCCGAGGGCACGAAGTGCATCCAGTGGAAGCGTCGCCCTCGGGGGCTTGGGGAATCCCGCGCCCGCAGGAAAGGGGGGAAGGGGCGAACGACTCGGCGGCGGCTGCGGGGGTCAAGGCGACTCGTTCGGCCACCCTCTCCCTGCCCATGTTTTCGGAAGCTCCCCGAACCCCCAAGGGCACGAAACCCTGAGGAATCCTCAGGGGCAGGAGTCTTAAGGAACCTGCAGGAATCCTCCAGGAATCCTTTGAACATCCTTCTGTTAGAAATCCTAAAGGCACCCATTAAAATCCTCAAAGGAATCCACAGGAACTTGCGACATCTTCCAGGGGCCTAGAGACTTCCACGAAGAATCCTTCAGGAGTCCTCAGGAATATTCAGGGATCCTCCAGGGCCCCTCAGGGATCCTCAGGAATCCCTGGCGAATCTTCAGAAAGCCACAGGGGTCTTTCAGAAATCCGTCAGGATCCTTGAGAAATCATTCAGGAGCCTTCAGGAAACCTCAGGAATCCCTGAGTACTCTTCGGATATCCATCAGGGACCTTCAGGAATCCTTCAGGAGCCATCAGGAATCCTCAGGAGTCCTTTGGAATCCGGAGGAACCTTTTGAGGATCCAGAGGGACGCGTAGGAACCTTTCAGGCATCTAGATGGAGTCTGCCAAAATCTTTCAGGAACCCAAGAAAATCCGGAATAATCCTGGATCCTTCAGGAATCCTTCAGAAGTCCTCGGGTCTTGGGGGATCCCCAGATACCCTTAGGAATCCTTTAGGAATCCTTCAAACATCCTCCAGAGATCTTCGGACATTCTGTACGAATCCAAAGCAATCCCAGGACCCGTCAGAAAACCGAACTTACGCGACCGAGGAGCCCCACACACTTATTTTATGGCTGGAGTGGTGATCGCTGAAGTGAAGCATGTGAGAATGATGCTTGTGGCCGTTGCCCCGCCGATACTGTTGCATGTCGAGAAAGTGACACGACTGTTGGCCCCTTCCAACGTTGGGGCGTATAGAGACCGCGGTGCAGGACCCCCCCTGCCACCTCCTCTGTTGTCGAGAAAGTGCCACGCCTGCTAAGCCCTGCGGCATTGGCGCGTATGGAAACCGCGGTGAGGGCCGCACCCCCTCTGGTGCGGAGAACATTCCACGCCTGCTAAACCTTGCGACATGTGCTCGTATAGACACCGGGGTGAAGGACCACCCCCTGCGCACCCCGTCTGGTGTCGAGAATGTGCCACGCCTGCTAGGCCCTGCGACATTAGCGCGTATAGAGACCGCGGCTGAGGGACCAACCCTTGCGCACCCCCTGTGGTGTCGAACAAGTACCACGCTTGCTAGGCCTTGATACATTTGGCGCGTATAGATACCGCGCTGAGGGACCACCCCCTGCGCACCGCCTCAGGTGTTGAGAAAGTGCCACGCCTGCTAGGCCTTGCGACGTTGGCGCGTATAGAGACCAGGGTGAGGGACCACCCCTTGCCGCCTCTGGTGTCGAGTGCCACGCCTGCTGGGCACTGCGACATTGACGCGTATAGACACCGGGGTGAGGGACCAACCCCTGCGCATCCCGTCTGGTGTCGAGAATGTGCCACGCCCGTTAGGCCCTCCGACATTGGCGCGTATAGAGACCGCGCTGAGGGACCACCCCTTGCGCACCCCGTTTGGTGTCGAGACAGTGCCACGCCTGCTAGGCCTTGCGACATTGGCGCGTATAGAGACCGCGCTGAGGGACCCCCCCATGCGCACCGCCTCTGGTGTCGAGAAAGTGCCACGCCTGTTAGGTCGTGCGACATTGGCGCGTATAGGAACCGCGGCTGAGGGACCAACCCTTGCGCACCCCGTCCGGTGTCGAGAAAGTGCCACGCCTGCTAGGCCCTGCCACATTGGCGCGTATAGAGACCGCGCTGGTGGACCACCTCCTGCGCACCCCCTCTCTTGTCGAGAAAGTGCCACGTCTGCTAGGCCCTGCGACATTGGCCCGTATAGAGACCGCGTCTGAGGGACCACCCCTTGCGCACCCCCTCCGGTGTCGAGAATGTGCCACGCCTGCTAGGCCCTGCCACTTTGGCGCGTATCGAGACCGCGGCTGAGGGACCACCCCCTGCGCACCGCCTCTGGTGTCGAGAAAGTGCCACGCCTGCTAGGCCCTGCGACATTGGCGCGTATAGAGACCGCGCTGAGGGACCACCCCTTGCGCACCGCCTCTGGTGTCGAGACAGTGCCACGCCTGCTAGGCCCTGCGACATTGGCGCGTATAGACACCGGGGTGAGGGACCAACCCCTTGCGCACCCCCTCTGGTGTCGAGACAGTGCCACGCCTGCTAGGCCGTGCGACATTGGCGCGTATAGAGACCGCGCTGAGGGACCAACCCCTGCGCACCCCCTCTGGTGTCGAGAAAGAGCTGTGCTGAGCTGTGCTGTGTTGTGCTGAGCTGTGCTGAGCAGTGCTGTGCTGTGCTGTGTACGTGCTGTGTGTCAATGTGCTGTGTGCTAGGCCGTGCTGTGCAGTGCTGAGCTGTGCTGTGCTGTGCTGTGCTGCGCTGTGCTGCGCTGTGTTGTGTGCGAAGGAGAAAGAGAGAGGGGAAGTGTGCGGGAGACGCGGGTGCGACGCGGCACGGATGAAAACCATAATCCCACGAAACATGTGGGGAACAATCTTTCAACAATCTTTTGGGGTTCCTCTAATGAGCCTCTGAGGAACCCCTAGGGAGCCGGTAACGAGCCTCTCAAGAGTCTCGAAGGAGTTTCTAAGGAGTCGCTAGGGAGTCTCTAAGGAACCTTCAAGGAACATCTAAGGACCCCCCAAGGAGTTCCCAAAACGGTTGTATCTGGTACAACTGAGTTGGGATTGGTGCCGACATGTGTGGAATCCGTCTTAGTTGGTTGTAATTTTCCAATTTTCGGGCAAGCCCCTTCCAGATTGGGAAAAAGGGCGTTTGAAGAGAAAGCTCTCTAGCTCTCTGGACCACCTACGTCCTAAAGGGTTGGTGGGATTAGCAGCGCTGGCAAGTGCCACCATGGCCACCACAATGTGTTCTACCACATGGATTTTGAGCCAACGGTGGTAGGTATACAACTGGGTAGCCAGCTGATTCGGTATCCAAGTAGTTTGCGATGTACGAGCAATCGAATGAACGGAGAAACTTTCATCCTGAACATCGCTCGGGTAGCCCTCACGCGGGGCCAGATTTGCCCGCTCCCACATTTCCATACAACCACCCCGCTGGGTTGGGAGTTTCTCTGAATAGTTGTAGGCTGTTCGCGTTCTTTGTTGTAGCCCGATAGTAACCCACGTTGACCGAACTTATGTTAATGTTTTAGTTTGTAATTCGTTTGTGAGCGAATGGTTTCCCGAATGGCTGCCACATGCCGATGTACACACGCGTGTGCGTCTGATTAGCAAGTACCCTATTCACTCGTATCTTCGACGTTACGCGTCAACGCATCATGGTGTTAGTTGAGACGGCGGTTGCGATTGGTATGGTGTTGTGCTACGCGCGCTATTCGCAAAATGTCACGCGAGTGTTCGAGGGACAAACTGCCAAGGCAAGCCGCATGACTACAATTCAACCATGGGACAACCACAGGACACCCCCTAGCCACCAGTATACACGCCACACCACATCACGCCACGGCGAGACTTTCTTGCCGACCTTGTCCTAGCTATGGGGGTTCACCCCGTTTCGCCCGCCCGAACAGCTCCGCCTCTCACGCCCATGCGTCGTTCACGAAGCGGGCTGAACGTAGTGTCGTTGCCCCGGTCCAGCTTCTGATGTGCAGCGCGAATCATTACAAAGGCATGCCGCTGTCATGTCTCACAACGCGCAATCCTGGGCGTCTTCAAGATATTGCGAGATCCAGTGATGCACATTTGCTCATGCCGCTAGGCAATCGTCAAACACGCCCCCATGCGAAATTAGCTGGTCGACTTTCCTGCAGACCTTCGCGGAATCATCCATTCGCATTCCCAACCCGTTCATTTCCCCATCTCCATCCTGGACTCTTTCGCCTTCCCTCCCCCCGCCTTTCACTTCCCACGCATTCATTCCCAATCGGCATATGAGTGCCAAGCCCTGGCATCCAGTCTGCATCCCCATCGCCATCGTCTCCTCTCCCCTTCAGGGCCGCCCATCGCTCGCCTTTAAGTTGCCCGAGCCCAGTTTCGGCCCATCTCGTGGAGCTAAAGCGGCCGGTGTCTTGTTCCATCTGATGTGAGCACATGTTTGCGTGAGGCCGGCCCCCAAGCTGTACGTTTTGGGTGTCGAGCGTGGGCGTGCGTGCAATTCGCGGACTGGTAAGCAGTCACACATTGTACGGATTTTTCCACACTGTTGTTCTGTCCGCCCAACTCCTGCTTCCCCTGCTCCTTCCGTTTCATGAGCGAACACTGAATCATGTGTATGTTTTGCAGGTTCCCAGTCCTCTAAGAGGACCAGCGTGCTGCAGGCGCGCATGCCTCCCTTGCAGAGGCGCCGACCCTTTCCGGCGACGACAGATTCGTTCGTTCGACCCCCAAATTTTGAAGAGACTGTGTTGGTCGTCGATGTTTGGAACCCGCCGAGCCCAGCCTCTGACGCGGCCTCTCCGAAACTGGGCTTCCGAGGTCGGCAGCGCGTACCTCGTTCAGAAGCCTGGAGAGGACCAATACAAGGCGGCTGCCACGGGTGGGGGCAGCTTGGAGCGGTACCATCGGGAGGTAGAATATCCTGCGAGCATCGATCTACAACCCTCCGCGAAATCAAACACAAGTTTTTATCCAACCCGCTCGCCCCCCAATTTTGTTAATGTTCAGGGACGCGCGTGACACGTCCCGCGGGGGCAGAAGCAACATGCAGTGGCCAGATTCGGCGCGAACGTTGACGCCCAGAGGCGCCGGCATGTCGCGGGGAAAAGCTTGTGTTTGATTTAGCGGAGGGGTGTATGCCTCGCAGATGGGGTCAGAGTAAATGAGATGGAGGATCGCGCCGCATCGCCCATACATCGGCGATGAGGCTGGATGTGGGGTCTGTTTTTATACACGCTGACGTCGCCGATGCATCGCCGATGTCGCCGATGCATCTTCGATGCATGGGGGATGCGTCGCAATCTTCGGACCCCATCCACTCGGATCCCGTTCGTGAGGTATCTAATCGTGGAACATACAGACTGCATACAGGCAAACTTTCGGATGTCCGTGCAGATTTCTTAGGTCGGCGCTGAACATTTCCTGGCAGCGCCTCCGGCGCCACCCCTGGCGCGCTCCGCGCGCAAGGGAGGAGGGGGGGATCCAGCGTCGACCTAAGAACTCCGCGCGGACCTCCGACAGTGTATGTCCATTCAGTGTTTTTTGCTTTTGTCAAGCAGGTGGATTCCCTAATGGTAGAGATCTGCAGATTCTGGAAGCCCTGGCAACGTCGTGGAATTCTTCTTGTTCACACCGGCCATCCAGAAACGATGTCCAGACGAGTTGTTTTGATCAGGGATGTGTAGGATCGTGCCGCAGAGCACAGGGGGTAGCCGTCAAACCGAAGCCCGAGATTAGCCTGAGCAGGCTCAGGAGTGAACCAAAATGCCTTCGCGGCCCCATCGCATGAGAAAGAGGCGAAGACAGGGATAACGAAGAGGAGGGTAATGATGAGGAGGAGGAGGAGGACGAGGAGGAGGATGAGGAGGAGGAGGAGGAGGAGGGAGAAGGAGGAGGAGCAAGTGGACGATGAGGATGATGACGGGGATCAGAAGGAATGGGAATTTGACAAGACACGTTCCCACTCAACTTCTGGTGAACCCTAGGTGCGCGGAGGATGATGAGGAGGAGAAAATGGGAGAAGGAGAAGGAGGAGGAGGAGGAGGACAAAGAAGATAGGCTAGGAAGGCGATGACGAGGACGACAAGGACGACGAGGACGACGACGACGACGGCAGGAGTCAACCATCAGTGCCGTTGCGGATTTTTCGGGCTGCCAGGGCCTTCTTGGAGTCATCCTGGATGTCATCGATTTGGAAATGGTAGGATCCTCAATTGCGCCCTCCCTCCCCCTCTGCAGCCCGAGAGCTTGGGCCATCTTGGTGCCACCCTGACAATTCCGAAGCCCATCAGACGCGAGAAGCCGAGACGGCACGCACTCTGAACACCGCCAGGTTTTTGAAGGATGCTGACCTCTCGAGGATATCGTTGGGAGGCTCTGTGGCCAGCTCGAGCCGTCCCTGCAGCGGCCTGGGTGCCCCTCGTAGGTATGCTGGAGGGTATCTTAAGCCATCTTTGGCTACTCGTGCCATCCTGGAGGCAATTTGGGGCCATCTGGGGCCCTTTGGGGGCCTTCTTGGGCCTGTTTGGACGCTTTAACGACCCGCGACAAGGCCCGTCCCAACCGAGGGAGACAGGGTAGGGGGAGAGGTCAAGTTCCTAGTGGCAACGCTGCACACTGTCTCGCTCACTCCCACCCGCCCTCCCACGACTTAAGTCACACCCGAGTCTCAGCTTAGGCAGGGGGCGCCATCGACAACCATCAGGAACCAATGCAGGCGCCAGTCAGGTGCGCGACGCCCGCGAGGCGAGCCGCGCGTGCCAGGGCACCACCACCATCCCTGTCAAATGACAGTGCAAAGTGATCGCGGGGCGCCCGCGCATGATCGATGCCGGAAGGTGTATTTCGTATTCTGCGCGCAGCAGGCGATATGCTGCCCCCCCCCCTTCGTCCTGGTCAAAAGCCACTCCAATGTGATTGCAGGGTGCCCGCGCATGATCCAGATTTTGCAGCAACGTGCACTTTGTGATGTTTTTTGTGATATGGATGGGGGGGGGTGTTCTCATGTTGTCGGGTTCGCCTCGGGTCAGGTGGGCGAGGGGATGTATGTTGATAGGGAACCGCCATGAGCCTCCCCCCCCAAGAGGAAAGGGAGGTCGGAATGACTTATCCTGTGCGCCACCCACGCCCCCAAGGGCTGGCGGGATTTTCGACTCTCGGAGGTCCTCTTGGAGCCATCCGGTGCCCAAGCGGACCCTCTGGCGACACCTCGCTGGTGGGCGGCGGCGGGGAGGAGGAGGAGGAGGAGGAGGAGGAGGAGGAGGAGGAGGAGGAGAAGGAGGAGAAGGAGCAGGAGGAGGAGGAGGAGGCGCCCAGGTTCCAGAGGAAGCCTTTTCCCGAGACAGGGCGGGCGAACCCTCTGCAGCCGACGCGGGCCAGGGACCCGCGCGGCACCCACTCTGCCTCGGACCGGGGCCAGGGCGGGCCAGGGCGACGAGGCAAGACGATGCGGGGCCAGGCCCGGCAAGTCACGACAGGACAGCCTGAGCCTCCAGGCCGGCCCCGGTGGCCCCAGCACGCCCCAAGAGGGCTCCAGGCCGGCCCCCGAGGCTGGCCAGAGGCCTCAAGACGGCCCCCAGCGGACTCCCAAAGAGCCCCCAAACTGCAATCGCATGAGCGGCGGAAAGGGCAAGGGGTCGACTGTGCCGACACATTCGCGCGCAAGCCTCCCGCGTCAGGTGGCGTGTGGGCGCTCTCTTCTCCACGCAGGTTTGCCGCGCTGGCGGCCCGCGTAAGCCGCGGCGTAGGGTCGCTATGTCTTCTTGCGTAAGACCTGTTTCTCGTTATCGTTCGTATGGATTTTTTCGTCGGCTTTTTTGTCTGATTCTGCCATGCTCGCTTTCTCTCGGCGGTGAGCCCAGGGGGAAGTCAGACGGGGCGGGCCTTCTCAGAAGGCTCGCAAGGCCTCCGGTCTTTCGAGACGTTTTTTCGAAGTGTTCTCCGAAGAGGCAGAGATCTTATCAGAAGGCGCGAGGTCTTCTGAGAAGTCGGCTTTCAGAAGGCGTACCCCCTCTTACTCCCCCCCCTCGGGCGCACCGCCGATTCTCGGTTTCCCAGGCCTCCACGACGGCCCAGGAGGCCCCTGGGATCGCCCGTGGACGGCCGAAGGAGGCCACAAGAGGCCCTTAAGACGAGGGATCAGCGGCAGCAGTCGGCGGCCGTTCGAGTGGATGAGGGGGACGCTTGCTTTTAAGGGGCAGAGACTTCCATAGTGTGCCCCTGAAACGGCAGGGCTGCCTTTTTTTGCCGTTGTCCCAACATGTTTCTGGAACGTGACAACGGTGAAAAAGCGGCTCTGGGAAACGGGAGACAAATGTTCCAGGATTTGAGGTGGAACCGGAAGCGAAACAAATCATAGCGACGGTACCAGGAACAATTACACCTGAGAAAACCCCAATCAGTGGATGATTTGAAAATGGATGCTATGGACCTCGAGATCGATAGTGAGATCGATATTGAGATCGATAGTGGAATCGATAGTGAGAACGATGTAAGGTCGATCGTGAGACCGAGAGTGAAATCGATTCAATGAGATCGATAGTGAGATCGATCGCGAGATCGCTCATGCGATCTCTAGTGAGATCGCTTGTGAGATTTATAGTGAGATCGATTGTGAGATCGATGGTGAGATCGATCGAGAAGTCGGTAATGAGATTGATGGTGAGACCGATCGATAAGAAGATCGACCAGGAACCCAGGAACCCAGGAACCTCGCCGCCCTCCGAAATCGGCCTGGAACCTGGAACCGGGAACCCGGGAACCCGGAACCGGGAACCCGGGAACCCGGGAACCCAGCCTGCCACCAAAATCGGCGGGGAATTTTCGCCAAATCTTTCAACTTCCGAGAGGACCCCTTCAGTGCCCGGGTGGCTGACGGGCTGGGCCGAGACCCCACTGGGCATCCCCTGGTGGGCCTTTTCGAGGCATCTTGGGGGCCTCATTGGGCCTCTTGGTGCCTTTTGGGGGCCCCTTTGGCCGTCTGGGCCGTCCTGGGGCCTTCTTGCGGCGCTTCAGGGCCATCTTGGAGGCCATCTTGGGTGTCTTGGAGGCCTCTTGGGCCACCTTGGGGCGCTCTTTGGGTCGTCTTGCGGGCCTCTTTGGTCCGTCATGGGGCTAAATAGGAGGCCTCTTGGGTGCTCTGGGGGCGATCTTGGGGTCTTCTTGGGCTTCGTGGGCCGTCGGGAGGCCAGAAATTAAGAAATGCCACAATCAGCCAAACAACGTACAAAACAGCACTTATGCTGGTTTCTTCGGGCCTTCCTGGAGGCCTCTTGGGGGCCTGTTGGGCGGTCTTGGGCCAGCTTGAGGCCGCCTTCTTGGAGGCACCACGTCATAACAGTTTGGGACGCCGTGCACCGCTGTGGCAAGCCAGCATGGGTCGGCGGATCGAAGACGCCTACGACGAATCACCGTACCCCCTGCCTTTTGTAAGCGCCTATCTTGCCGAACGTTGTGGCCAGAGCTCGGCCAAACTATCGGACTATGTGTTTCCCGAACGGTTGTGGAAACGCTTCGGGGAACACGCCAGGGAGAAATAACAAACATAATATTAGTATCAATGCGAGTAATAATAGCAAGAAAAGCAGCAAACATAATAATGATAACATTGGTGCTGACACTCGTAATACCAAGACTATTAATATTAATACCAATATTAATAATACTTCGTATGATTAATAATACTAAGAAGAAGAGGAGGAGAGATCTCTTCGGGCTTTCCTGGAGGCTCTCTCGGAGGCCTCTTGTGGGCCTCTCGGGCCGTCTTGGATTATCTTGGGGCCATCTTGGGCCATCTTGGGTGCATCTTGGGCTGTCTTGGAGGCATCTTGCGGCTGTCTTGGGCTCTCTTGGGGCTATCTTACCTGTCTTGAGGACATCCTCAGCAATTTTAGCCGTCTTGGAGCGAGTAGACTGCTGACCTGGGAAGCTGACGGGTCTTATGGGGCGCCTTGGAGGCCATCTCGGGACCGTCTAGAGCGGGAAGACCGGCGACTTCGGAAATTCATGGGTCTTTATTGGGTGAAGAGACCGATGGGTTGGCAAGTTTACGCGCCCTTCCGGGTGGCCGGCGCATTAGGCCGAAGGCCCCTGGGAGCCATGGAAAATAATTAACAGTTGCCTGACCTTTGGCACGCCGTCCACCCTTGTTGACACGGGGGCGGTGGATCCAGTGGCCCTCGGGTCATCCCGCTGCCGTGCCTATGTTGTGGGTCAGAGGCCTGTCGGATGCCTGTTGGGGTCCCTTGGCTTGCCTCTCGGAAGCCTCTCGGATGTCTCTTGAGGTGGCTATTGGGGCCTTCTTGGAGGCGTCGTTGGGCCTTTTCAGAGCTTTTGGGAGCTCTCGGGGTGATGTTGGGTGTCTTGGAGGATACATTGGAGGGAAAGACTCCCAAGGCCAGTTCGACTTTTTCCTCTTGGGGGCCTCTGGGGGGCCTCTTGGGCCGTCTTGGGGCCTCTTGGGCCGTCTTGGGGGCCTCTTGGGCCGTCTTGGGGGCCTTCTTGGGCCGTCTTGGTTTTTTTTTTGGGGGGGTCTCTTGGGCTGCTTTGGTGCGGCCTTAGGGGCCTCTTGAAGAGTATTTGCCGCACTCGATACAGAAGACTGCAATGGACCTGAGGGCCTTCCACTCAGTGCCTCGCGGCACGGTGGCGGATACACATACACCAGTGTGTTATAGTCTTTGAACCTCGCCCGTCAACTCACAAGGATTGCTGTATCAAGCTGGGGACAGCAGGCAACCGCTGCACGCTGGGAAAGCGCAGAACTGAACACGTTACCCTGCAATCGTTGCCAGGTTGAGTTTAGCGGCGACTTCAAGGGAAAGTGCATCGAGGTCGAGATAAAGAAGACGGAAGATGGTGCGTGGTATCTATGTGTGTGTGTCAGCATGCCAGGATACGTTACGTTGATGTAGCCGCCGTAATAAGCACTCTTGGGGCGTCATGTTGCCATGCCCTTTCAGTTGGCAGCCGCCGGGGTATGATTGCTCGTGCCTCTCTGACAGTCGTGCCGCTGTGTTTCTGATGTAGTTGGTAGCTTTCATGCAGCGACTCGGGTCCTTCATGGGAGCACTTCTGAGGCACATGTAAATTGGCATGTTTTCCGCGACCAAAGCTTAAGGGTTAGATGCGGGGAAGTAATGTATAGCAACATCAGTTAGCCCGTGAAACCCAGCTGAAGGATGAAGACTGTGTTCGCGGGGGTGAAAGCGTGCCCGTTTTCATTATCTTCTCCTCGTAGTCTTTTCTTTTCTCCTCTCCGCAGCTGCCTCAGATTGAACCTTCGCCATTTGCTCTCAACATTGGTCTCTCCCCTTAGTCCACCCTGGTGATTCTATGTTTCCCAACCAGCCTGTTGTGATTTGGGTCCTCGTTTTGAAGCGACAGCGCCCTTCGTCGCCTTCCTCTCCTCCTCCCCCCCCTCTCTCCCATCCCTGCCTCTGCCATCCATGTCAATTTCGGCACACCCCTCACACGTTTCGTGGCCCCATGCCGAGCTCCACCGAAGGCCCCCGTGGCAGGGTTTGCATGCGGTTCCCCGCCCATTCTGACACACTCCTCACGTTTCGTTGCCCATTAGGGGGATCCACCGAAGGCCCTTGTGACAGGGTTCGCATGCGGTTTCCCGCCCATTTCGGCACACACCCCTCACACGTTTCGTGGCCCCATAAGGAGCTCCACCGCAGGCCCCACTGGCAGGGTTTGCATATGGTTCCCTGCCCATTTTTGCACACCCCTCACACGTTGTGGCACCATCAGGAGCTCCACCGAAAGCCCCAATGGCAGGGTTTGCATGTGGTTTCCCGCCCATGCCGGTACACCCCTCACACGTCTCGTGGCCCCATAAGGGGGCTCCACCGAGGATCTTTATGTATGGCAGGGTTCGCATGCGGTTCCCCGCCCATTCCAGCACACCCCTCACACGCTCCTTGGCTTTACAGGGAGTTCCACCTAAGGCCTCAGTGGCAGGGCTCGCATGCGGTTTCCCGCCCATTTTGGCACACCCCTCACACGCTCCGTGGCTCCACAGGGAGCCCCACCTAAGACCTCAGTGGCAGGGTTCGCTTGCGGTTTCCCGCCCATTCTGGCACACCCATCGCACGCTTCGTGGCCCCATAGGGGGCTCCACAGAAAGTGGTGCACGACGCGGTGTTCACAACTGCATATGTTTGGGTCATTCGCCTGGAGAGTTTTGCTCGGTGAGGTTAGTGGGCTTGCGCAGATGCCTCCGTTCTTTTCTGGGTCGTTGCTGGTCAGGTAGAACGAGTTGTCACCAACGCCATGTGGGCTTCAGATCTTTACAACACTTGGCGAAATTGGGGTTCCAGGGTCCTGGAATTATCCTGGCGAAGGACCCAAGCATATGCAATTGTGAGAACCGCAATTGTGAATATCTTCTTCGGTGGCGCTCCCTACGGGGCCACGAACCGTATGAAGCTGTGCCGAATTGTGTGCAGGGGGCTTCCCTGGGAACCCCGACGGCAGCACCCGCGCGCCGCGACGCCCATGTCGGCACGCCCCACACGAGGATCGCGCCCGCTTCCTCCCCTCCTTTTTCCTTTTCCTTTGCCCGCGCATTCCAAAGTCCAAGGCTGCGGGCGCAGCGCAAGGCGGAGCCCTCGCGACGCGCGCAGGTCGCCCCTAAGGGGTCACAGTGACGCGCACGGTTCGTACGCTGTGTGGAGCAGGGATTGCTTGCTGGTTAACTGATAGCGCGCGCATGGCTCTGGCCGCCGGGCGGAGCGACGACGGGCGAGCGAGGCGCTGGACAGAGCGCAGCGCGGAGTTCGCGAGACGCGCGCTGATCGCACCGAGAGGGCCCCAGCGACGCGCACAGGGCGTCCGCGGCGCGATGCCAAACAGTTGGACACCCAAGAGAAGGCGCGGCTGTGGCGGGCCGCTCCTCAGGTCAGGCCTCGCGGATAAACTCGGGGCCACGAAACGTGTGAGGGGTGTGCCGGAATTGGTGTGCGGGACGCATGCGGGCACACCCGCTGGGACCTTCGGTGGAGCTCCCTATGGGGACACGAAGCGTGTGAGGGGTGTGCCGAAATGGGTGTGCGGGACGCATGCGGGCACACCCACTGGGACCTTCGGTGGAGGTCCCTATGGGACCACGAAGCGTGTGAGGGGTGTGCCAAAATTCGCGTGCGGAGCGCAAGCGGACACACCCACTGGGACCTTCGGTGGAGCTTACGAAGCGTGTGAGGGGTGTGCCGAAATTCGTGTGCGGGACGCATGCGGGTTCACCCACTGGGGCCTTCGGTGGGCCCCCTTTATCGGGCCACGCAACGTGCGAGGGGTGTGCCGGAATTGGTGTGCGGGACGCATGCGGGCACACCCACTGGGACCTTCGGTGGGGCTCCCTATGGGGCCACGGTGCGTGTGAGGGGTGTGCCGAAATGGGTGTGCGGGACGCATGCGGGCACACCCACTGGGACCTTCGGTGGAGCTCCCTATGAGGCCACGGAACGTGTGAAGGGTGTGCCGAAATGGGTGTGCGGGACGCATGCGGGCACACCCACTGGGGCTTTCGGTGGGGCTCCCTATGGGGCCACGAAACGTGTGAGGGGTGTGCCGAAATGGGTGTGCGGGACGCATGCGGGCACACCCACTGGGTGGGGCCACGATGCCCCACGCCCACTGGGGCCTTCGGTGGAGCTCCCTATGGGGCCACGAAACGTGTGAGGGGTGTGCGAAATGGGTGTGCGGGACGCATGCGGGCACACCCACTGGGACCTTCGGTGGAGCTTCCTATGGGGCCACGATGCGTGTGAGGGGTGTGCCGAAATGGGTGTGCGGGACGCATGCGGGCACACCCACTGGGACCTTCGGTGGAGCTCCCTATGGGGCCACGAAACGTGTGAGGGGTGTGCCGAAATGGGTGTGCGGGACGCATGCGGGCACACCCACTGGGACCTTCGGTGGAGCTCCCTATGGGGCCACGAAACGTGTGAGGGGTGTGCCGAAATGGGTGTGCGGGACGCGTGCGGGCTCACCCACTGGGGCCTTCGGTGGAGCCCCCTTTATGGGGCCACGAAACTTGTGAGGGGTGTGCCGAAATGAGTGTGCGGGACGCATGCGGGCACACGCACTGGGGCCTTCGGTGGAGCTCCCGATGGGGCCACGATGCGTGTGAGGGGTGTGCCGAAATGGGTGTGCGGGACGCATGCGGGCACACCCACTGGGGCCTTCGGTGGAGCTCCCTATGGGGCCACGGAGCGTGTGAGAGGTGATAGTGGTGATGACTGCGATAATGATGACGATGATGGTGATGAGGACGGTCGTGAGGATTATGACGAAGAGGACGATGACGGTGATGATGACGACGACGACGATGATGATGATGACGATGATGATGGTGGGAGGAGGGAGGAGGACGGAGGGGGAGGAGGAGGAGAAGAGGAGAGGAGACGCGGGCCACCGTCTCTTCAAAACGGGGACCCAACACCACAGGATGGTTGGGAAAAAACATGGCAATATTTGGAAGCCGGAATCAGATCAATGGAAACGGCAGTAGTCAAGCTCTAATGACGGCCAACCTCTCGACGCGTGGTCAAGCAGTTCCTCATCGTCACCCAGCGTGGAAAAAGATCATAACTGTTTACGCAGGGTAGAGGCACCAGAACTCCACCAAACAATTCCCAACCTTCCTGTGTTGTTGGGTCCTCGTTTCGAGCCCGCAGCGCTCCGAATCACACTCCCATCTCCCGCTGTCCCCTCCCGCCTGCCTGCCTCTGCTTCCCGCGCGCCTATTTCGGTCACTCCCCTCGCATGCGTCGTGGCCCCGTGAGGAACTGAACCGAAGGCTTCGGTGGGACCGGCCGCGCAGCGTTCCCAGCCCATTTTGGCAAACCACTCACGCGCTTCGTTGCCCCTAGGGAGCTCAACCGAAGGCCTCAGTAGGACCGACCGCATATCTTCCCCCAGCCCATTTCGGCACTCCTCTGACACGTTTCGTGGCTATATAGGGAGCTAGCCGAAGGCTTCAGCCGATTTCGGTACACCACACGCTTCGTGGCCTCACAAGGAGGACCACCGACGGCCTGAAGGGGACCGACCGCATGGCGCTCCTCAGGCCAATTAGGCACACACACACACACACACGCGCACAAGCACACGCGCGCACACACACACACACACGCCCAAACGCGCACGCACGCGCGCGCATGCACCACGCACTCACGCACGCACGCCCCCACGCACGCACGCACGCACGCACGCACACAAACAAACACACGATACAACACAGCACAACACACCACAGCACAATCCAATCCATTACAATCCAATGCAATACAAGACAATACAATCCAATACAACACAATCCAATACGATACAATACAATGCAATGCAATGCAATACAATACAATGCACTACAATACAATACAATACAATTCAATCCAAAGCAATCCAATCCAATCCGATGCAATACAAAACAACACAATACAATCCAATACAACTCAACACAGCACAACACCACATAACACACCATACCACACCGCAGCACAACACACACACACACAGCACGCACACACATGACACACAGACACACACACACACACACGCCTCACACGCTTCGTGGCCCCATATGGAACTCCATCAAAGGCTTCAGCGGGATTGACCGCATAGCACCCCCAGCCCATCCTGGCACACCCCTCACACGTGTCGTGGCCCCATACGGAACTCCACCGGAGACCTGTGGGATTGACCGCATAGCTTCTTCGGGCAATTTCTGTTACACCCTCACGCGTTTCGTGGCCCCGTAAGGAGCTGAACCGAAGGCTTCAGTGGGACCGACCGTGTAACGCCCCTCACACGGTTCGTGGTTCCATAGGGAGCTCCATGTAAGCCCCCAG